CAAACAATCCAATTATTACACTCTTTATTTTAAAATGTATAGTTATTATTGACTATAGTCACCCTGTTGTGCTATCAAATAGTAGGTCTTATTCATTCTTTCTATTTATATTTTATTGTACTGCCTATGTACTGAAAAGTTGTTGTAGTTAGTATTTTTTATTGGTTCATCGTTTACTACTTAGGATGAGAGTAGTTTATACACCACAGTTACAGTATTTTAATATTCTGTGTTTTTCTGTGTACTTACTATTACCCGTGAGTTTTATACCCTCAGATGATGACTTACTACTCATTAATGTCTTTTCTTCCTGGTTGAAGCACTCCCTTTAGCCTTTTTTGTAGGACAGGTCTGGTGTTGATGAAATCCCTCAGCTTTTGTTTGTCTGTGAAACTTTTTATTTCTCCTTCATGTTTGAAGGATATTCTCACTGGGTATGCTATTCTAGGGTAAAGTTTTTCCTTTCAGCACTTTAAATATATCAGCCCACTCTCTCCTGACTTGTAAGGTTTCCACTGAAGGGGTTGCTGCCAGACATATTAGAGCTCTGTTGTTTGTTATTTATTTCTTTTCTCTTGCTGCTTTTAGGATCCTTTCTTTATCCTTGACCTTTAAGAGTCTGATTATTAAATGCCTTGAGGTAGTCTTCTTTGGGTTAAATCTGCTTAGTGTTCTATAACCTTCTTGTACTTGGATATTGATATCTTTCTCTAGGTTTGAGAACTATTTTTTTTCTTTCCTTTTTCTTTTTTTTTTTTTTGACAGAGGGTTGCTCTGTAGCTGAGGCTGGAGAGCAGTGGCGTAATCTCAGCTCACTGCAACCTCAGCCTCACAGGTTCAAACAATTCTCCTGCCTCAGCCTCCCAAGTAGCTGGTATTACAGGTGCGCACCACCACACCCAGCTAATTTTTGTAGAGGTGGTGTTTAACCATGTTGGCCAGGCTGTTCTTAAACTCCTGACATCAAGTGATCCACCCGTGAGCCACCACTCCCAGCCCCGTTGAATAAACGTTCTACCCCTATCTCTTTCTCTACATCCTCTTTAAAGCCAATAACTCTCAGATTTGCCATTTTGAGGCTGTTTTCTAGATCCTGTAGGTATGTTTCATTGTTTGTTTGTTTTCTTTTGTCTCCTCTGATTGTACATTTTCAAATAGCCTTTCTTCAAGCTCACTAATTCTTCTACCAGATTCATTCTGTTATTAAAGGACTGATGCATTCTTCAGTATGCCAATTGCATTTTTCCAGTTCCAGAATTTCTGCTTGACACTTTTTAATCATTTCTATCTCTTTGTTACATTTATCTGATAGAATTCTGAATTCCTTCTGTGTTTGCTTGAATTTATTTGAGTTTTCTCAACACAGCTATTTGGAATTCTCTGTCTGAAAAGTCACATATCTCTGTTTTTCCAGGACTCGTCCTTAGTGCCTTATTTAGTTCATTTGGTGAGGTCATGTTTTCCTGGAACCTACTGATACTAGTAGATGTTCTTCAGTGTCTGGGCATTGAAGGGTTAGGTATTTATTGTAGTCTTTACTGTCTGGGCTTCTTTGTACTCATCCTTTTTGGGAAGGCTTTCCAGATATTTGAAAAGACTTCAGTGTTGTGATCTGAGCAGTTTCTACTTTAGGGGACATCCCAAGCCCAGTAATGCTGTGGTTCTTGCAGACTCATAGAGGTACCGCCTTGATGGTTTTGGACAGGATCTGGGAGAATTCTCTGGATCACCAGGCAGAGCCTCTTGTTCTTTTCCCTTATTTTCTCCTAAACAAACAGAATGTCTCTGTTCTGAGCCACCCAGAGCTGGGGTGGAGTGACACAAGCACCCCTGTGGCCACCACCACTATGACTGCACTGGGTCAGACCCAAAGCCAGCACAGCTCTGGGTCTCACCCAAGGTCTGCTGCAAATACTCCTGGCTACTGCCTAGCTTGCTCAAGGCTCTGGAGCTCTACAATCAGCCAGTGGCAAAACCAACCAGGCCTGTGTCCTTTCCTTCAGGGTGGCAAGGTCCCCCAAGCCCGAGGTGGGTCCAGAAGTGACATCTGGGACTCAGGACCTAGAGTCAAAAACCTTAGAAGTCTACCTGGTGTTCTATTGTATTATGGCTGAGCTGGCACTCATACCACAAAATGCAGTCCTTCCCACTCTTCCTTTCCCTTTCTAAAGGCAGAGGAGCCTCACCCCGTAACCAGTCATCCTAGGCCAGGAAGAGTATTGTTTACTGTGGACTACCATAGATGTTCCCCTAAGACTCAGGGGCTCTTAAGTCATTTTGCGATGAATGCTGCCTGGTCTGAGACTCACCCTTCAGAGCAGTGAGCTCCCCTCTGGCCTAGGGCAGTTCCAGAAGTGTTATCCAAGAGTCAAGTCCTGGAATCAGGGATTCCAAGAGCCCACTTGGTGCTCTACCCTTCTGTGGCTGTGCTGGTACCTGAAGCCAGCAAGTCTCAGAGGCTCACCCAAGGCCCTCAACATAGTACCTGGGTATTGCTGCTAGTTATTCAGTGCCCAAGAGCTTTTCAGTTAACAGTTGATGAATTCTGCCAGGGCTGAGGCCTTTCCTTCAAGGCAGTCGGTTCTTCTGGCCTAGGGTATGTCTAGAAATGTGGTCCAGGAGCTAGAGCCTGAAACAGGAACCTCATAACTCTAACTGGTGCCCTAGCCTGCTGTGGCTGAGCTAGTATCCAAGATGTAAGACAAAGTCCTCCCCACTCTTCCCTCTCTTCTCAAGTGGAAGGAAGGGGTCTCTTTTGGAGCTGTGAGCTGTCCAGCCTGGGGTTAGGGGAGGGGTGATGCCACCACTCCCTTGGCTGCCCCAGCTGGTGTCTCAGTATGTCGTGTGGCCCCCCAAGTCCACACTCTGTTGGCCCAGTTCAGCACTAAGGCTTGCCTAAGAGTTGCAGCCCTTATGGCCTAGACCAGGTGTTTCCAATCTTTTGGCTTCCCTGGCCCACACTGAAAGAATAATTGTCTTGAGCCACACATAAAATACACTAACATTAACAATAGCTGATGAGCTAAAAAAAAAAAAAAAAATTGCAAAAAAAATCTCATAGTGTTTTAAGAAAGTTTACGAATTTGTGTCGGGCTGCATTCAAAACCGTCCTGGGCCGTGTGCGGCCTGCAGGCCGCGGGTTAGAAAAGCTTGGCCTAGACTGCCTTTCAGGTTTACTTGGAGATCCAGAGCACTGTAGCCCTTGATGGAGAGGTTTGTGGGAACTCATGCTTGGGCTGCCGGGATGGGTGATTCCTCTCTGGCTGGGGCTAGTTTAAATCTTCCTTCCAATGGGCAGGTGTCAGGTGAGTTTGGTCGTTTTCCTTTCTGCTCTAACAGGACAGCACTAAATTCAATGCCTCACGATCGCTGTGTTCTTCCTCCCCCAGTGCCCAGAGATGCTCTTGGCACCACCATGCCATTGCTGCCGGGGGTGGGGGAGGGGTGGCATTGGCGATTCAGGACTGTTTTTTCTGTCTCTTCTGTGCCTCTTTCAGTGATATGAAGTTAAAACCAGTTACTATGAGTGCTCACGTGATTTTTGGTTTTTATGAAGGTGTTTTTTCTGTGTAGATAGTTGTTAAATTTGTGTCCTTGCTGGGGGGACAATTGGTGGAGGCTTCTATTCTGCCATCTTGCTCCCTATCCCAGAATCAGATATTTAGAGACCTGAGGCAGGACTAGTACTAAGCAAAATAAAAAAGGAGTGATTAATCTGTGTCACCCAACTGCCTCTTTTGTACCCTTTTCAGCTCTTCTTTTCTTTTAGAATCTCCAGTTTTTTCCAAATACCTAGCTTGTCCTTTTTTCTCCCCCCCTTCTTCCTGAGTGTAGCTTCCGGAAGGTGTGGGGGCTTGTGCTTATTTCTAAAGATGCCTTGACATGAGTATAGTTTTATCCACTGATAGAGCATCCCACCTGTAGACTCTTCCATTCTAGATGTTAGGAGAGATATTTTAGAGCAAGTTGTACCTGTCTCCCATTCTTTAAATTATGCCATGTAAGTGCTCTCTGCCTGAGTACGTGTAAGTACGTGCCTGACTACAGAGTCAAGTCTGATTGCTTCCTGCTGCTACAATAATCTAGGTTCCTCACTTCTGTGGTGTCTCCTGTGAACTTCCATCACCACTTTCTTACTTTTGTCACTTCCTTTTTCTTTGTTACTTTTTGATAATATACATGTAACTAATGGTCTATTACTTACATTTAATCAGATAGACATTTAATGGTCTATCACTTTGCATTTAATTACTGATTTACATTTATTTATTCAGCAACTTAATGACTCTATTGCTCTATATTTCTGTGACACTGAAATAACATTTAGTAAAATCATTTATTTAGATGATATCCCCCCTGAGCTATTGCAGTGTGAAAGTATTTTGCCTTTGCGTAAATAAAGTTACCATAAATCTAACAGGAATTTTTCTTTCTTATTCCAGCAAACCCTAAGATGTCGGTATTGATTGACCTTTGTTACAGTTTAACAAATTTATTATTATTATTGTATTATCATGTTTTAGGGATACCAGTTTTTAGGTATTCTGAAATATCATGAGATAGGATATAGATTATTCACTTGAGACATTATTATTTGGTTTTTGCCATTTTATTGATTTTTTTATGTATTTTCTAATATAGATGACATTATAATCTATAAAGAGTTGGAAGGGACAAATGCTGAAAAAGAAGAAAAGAGTAAAAGACAGAACCATAGTAAAAAGGAATCGTCTTCAAGACAGCAATCAAATACTCATGGATATTGCCATCAGAGAGGTAAAGTATGCTGAAAATAGTCACACATGGTAAAAAGAGTCTGAAATATTTGTGAATAACTAGGTAAGTAAAATCAAGAATTCACAATATTGTTCTAAAGTTGCATTATATTGCTTGTTTTATTTTTTCTGGGCATGGACTTATACAGGGTTGGTAAGAATTTATGCCATGTCATATGAATACAAATTTATTTTAATTTATAAGAATTATTTCCCTAATGGAGAGTGGGATAAGAAAAGTAACCATATGAGCTGAGAGATATTTTGTACTTGTTTACAAGCCTGGGTTGGTTGGTCCAGTTCTGCTTTTAGGAGGCAATAAAGGAGGGTTAAGAGCATAGTCAATAATCTGAACACTATGGCATCCACATTTTGAAAATACAAATGTTGTAAGACAAAAAGAGTAGGGTAGAACATGACAAATGTCCTCTGTATGCCTAACCTCATTGGTAAGTGCAGTGTGCATTTTTTAATATGAATGTGCTACAGATTGCCACGATACAGAAGTCTTTTCAACAATTAAAGGTCTTCATAATCTAGTCAACAGATTGGAACCATTTTGACATCGTGATTACTATAAGCCCCAACAGTTGCCTATGCAGCTTCATTTCAGTTCTTGTGTGAATCTTCAGTGGCTCAACATGTTCTGAGAAGAGAAGAGAAATGATGGTAGTTATTACAGGGGCAGAGCAGCCAAAAAGGGTAACATAGCCCATTCTTATGTGCCTAACCAGTCATCACAAAATTGATCTTTGTGAGCCTTTTGGAGATATTCTTTGATGAGTTTTCTACTGTCTTTGTTTGTTTACCCAAACAAAGCAGACAATTGAGACAAATATTCACATGATTAATACAAAGCAGACAGTTTCTCTCCATCTCTCCTTTTTCTACTGGAGTATTCTTTCATTTAATTTCAGATAGTATGTCCCAACTTTGGTGGCATATGAAACCAAAATTGAGGTATTATATACTGAGAAGACTACCCTATTAAGGTATGCAAACTGAAATAGTATGGCAAAGACTGTTCTAGAATTCAGTGAGACTCCCAGATAATACCAGAGTAATGAAATATCAAAAGTTTTGCAAAACCCAGTGCATAGCTTCAAAAAAATGAGATCAGAGATAATACTTCTCTGAGAGATATGTTGAATTTACTACTTGAAAATACAGAAAATATTTTTTTTTCAAAGGCTACTCAAGATTCAGAAGCAACTCTGAGGAAAGAAATCATGATAAAAAAACATCCCAAGAACCTTCTGGATTCAAGTCTGGACAACACCCTTTAAATGAGCAGCCTTTAATTGAACAGGTAGATAACTACCAAGAATTAACCAATATTAAAAATCCTACATTTAATATATTTCCTAATATTAATGATTTACTTTAAAATCTATTGAAAGCAGGGATTGTTTCTTGGTATTCCTCCATGGTGCCTTGAATGTACTTTAAATTCAATGTTTGTTAGTTGATTTTTCCCCTGTAACTATTTTAAAAAACATTTGATTTTTGCTGTTTTCAGTCATTACTAAAACTTTTGAATTTATGAAATGCCAAAACAGATTATTAGTTATTGTCATTAATCCTATGTAATCATTTTTATTTGTCCTCATACAGAGGCTTTGAGCTTAAGTTATAATATAAAAAGAGTTTTAGTATCTTTGTGAATGAACTGTAAAAGTCAGAAGTCAGATGATATCAGATATGAAATATACTCTAGAAGCAACAGGTGGCACAGACTATACCTGTACGAATCCATTTCCTCTAACCACGTATAGGTGAGCCAGTCAATAGAGAGGAATTTGAGAGGTGCTCAGATCCAGATTCACTAGCTAACATTGGTGCTAATGTTTCATCCTAGCTTATAAACTGATTCTTCTTAAGGTGTTACGTGGTCATTTAGCAAAAATGGCAGTTCCGGGAGCTTAAATCATTTTTGCCAAATCATGTAAAAGCAAATGTTTATTTATTTGCTTATCTATTTATTTTGGAGAAAAACATACTGCATTTTCAAATATTTAAAGGATTATTTTAAATTGTTCAAATGGACCGGGCGCGGTGGCTCACGCCTGTAATCCCAGCACTTTAGGAGGCCGAGGCAGGCGGATCACGAGGTCAGGAGATCGAGACCATCCTGGCTAACACGGTGAAACCCCGTCTCTACTAAAAATACAAAAAATGAGCCGGGCGTTGTGGTGGGCACCCGTAGTCCAGCTACTCGGGAGGCTGAGGCAGGAGAATGGCGTGAACCCGGGAGGCGGAGCTTGCAGTGAGCCGAGATCGCGCCACTGCACTCCAGCCCAGGCGACAGAGCGAGACTCTGTCTCAAAAAAAAAAAAAAAAAAAAATTTGTTCAAATGATGATTCAATGCCTACTCTATGCAAGCACTATGATACCAGAACAGCCTGCTTCAAATAGTCTGTACCGTGGTGGAAGAGAAAGATAGGAAAGAAATGTAATGCCAGACAGTATGCAGTATGTGCATAATAGGGCATAAGTTATATATTGTGAGGATGTAGTAATTCATTCTGATTGGGGTTCTTGAGAAACTTTGGTGGAAGAGATGGCATATGATCTGTGCCTTATAGGATGAGGAGATTTATTTATAAAGTTTGGAAAGAAGAACATGAGCTTCCTTCTGATACAGTCCAAGATGCATAAACTGAGAATAAATCTTAAACAATATTTTCAAATTGAAAGCATCCTTTTCCTTTTATTTATTTTTTGTTTGTTTGTTTTTTTGAGACAGGGTCTCATTCCGTTGCCCAGGCTGGAATGTAGTGGTGTGATCATGGCTGACTGCCCCTTCTACCTCCTGGGCTCAAGTAATCCTCCCACTACAGCCTCCCAAGTAGCTGGGACTATAGGCACGTGCCACCATGCCCTGCGAATTTTTTTTTCTTTTCTGTAGAGATGAGGTCTCACTGTGCTGCCCAGGCTGGGAAAGTATCCTATTATTCATACTTTCGAAACTTTTGAGACTATCATAGCTGAACTCACCAGAAAAAAAAAATTACCCTGCAATAAAGAAATGTGTTAAAATTTAAGCATAATTATTTTACCAATAAATTGAAATAATTACAGTTTTCAATAATACTTTACAATTCTATTAAGCTAGTTTTGTACTCAACAAGATTTAGTCTTATTATCAGTGGAACACAGTTTTATTTGTTCACCCCATGTATTTATTCAACACAACCTTTTGATAGAAGGCTTCACTTGTTTATAAGGAAAGAAAACTAATGTGCACTTTGTTTTCCAAAGGTAGGAAATATATAGTACACAAGTTGATGAAAACATTTCTTATATAAACATTCATAAAAGGGACTGCAAGCTCCTTTGGAGAGGTACTTGGATACATATGGGTCTTTAGAAGATGGAACTCAGTCCTATCTTTCCTACTGACCTACTGTGCTCCCAACACCAGTCACTTAGAAAAGAGAAAAGGTACATGTGCATTTCACCCAATCTCCCTATTTAGGTTTTTCAGTACAAAAGCTGGAGAGTGGCTATAGCTTTATGTTTTAGCAAAACAACTAATTTTTTACATTTTTTATTTTAAAAAAAGTTTTCTGTGCATAATATCTTTTGTACTGGTACCTCCCCTGCTGTTTAGCAGTTGCATCCAGCTTCTGTTAGTGTTAAACTAAAAAGTCATAATGCCAAATTTAGGGCATGTTGTGCTTGTCAGGCAACATATACTAGTAGAAAGCTTGATTTCTCAGCATGGTCTATATGACTTTATCCACTTACATTTATGTAGCATCATAGAGTTTTGTCAGAGGTTTCATTATTTCCATTTGGCTGATTCACTCCACTGCCTTTTTGGCTTAAAAACTGAAAAGGTAGAAAGGCTGTGTTGTTGCCAAGCTAATTTACTTGAACAGTATTAAGCCAACCTTCCGCTTTTTTACAGCTTCCTTTCCCCTTACTTACTTCGTCTTTCTCTCTAGAATTAAGTATTAATTTATAATGAAAAGATAGTTTCTTTTTAATGATCATTGAGTAGGCAGAGAGTAAATATGATTTTGAACACTTTCCTTTTCATCCTAAGGACTTACACTACAAAATATTCTATCAAAGTCGCAGAATCTGTTGTTTGTTTAGTAAAACATACATTCAGAAATTAGTAGGTAGAACATGACCATAGAATACAGTCAAACTCATAAAACAACTAATTTTCCATACTTTTATTTTATTACAGTTTTAGTTGCATAGCATTTTTGTGCCAATGACATGATACAATGGAGCTATTCTGTAAGTTAGTTCTAAAAGCTGGTTGATAAATAAAAGTAAGGACAGTGGAATTCTAAAAGAAACAGTTGCCCATGAAAATGGTCTTGAGAATATATCATTATGACTTAAATCATGAAGTATATGTTTCATTTGTTTTTCATAATTGGGATCCTTTTCAGGAGAAGTGCAATGACAATTATGAGGCCCAAGCAGAGAAGAATCAAGGCCAATCAGAGGGGAATCAGCATCAATCAGAAGGAAATTCGGACAAATCGGAAGAATCTCAGGGCCAACCAGAAGAAAATCATCATTCTGAGCGATCCCGAAACCACTTAGAGAGATCTTATTATCATTTAGAGAGATCTCAAGGGCAACTAAAGATACATCATGCCCAATCTGAGAGATCTCACAGCCAATCCAAGAGATCTCATGGTCAGTCTGAGAGATCTCATGGCCAATCAAAGAGATCACATGGTCACTCGGAGAGATCTCATGTTCACTCCAAGAGATCTCATATCCAGGGAGATCTTGTGGTCACTCAGAATGATCTCCTGGTCACTCAGAGAGATCTCATAGCCACTCAGAGAGATCTCATAGCCACTCAGAAAGATCTCATAGCTACTCAGAGAGATCTCATAGTCACTCAGAGAGAGCTCATGGCCACTGAGAGAGATCTCATAGTCAGTCAGGGAGATCTCATGGCCAATCAGAGAGACATCAGAGATACTCAACAGGTAAAAATACAGTGACTTCTTAATCATCAGAACAATGTGTTGAATTCTGTGGAACTAGAAAAGCATATCTCTATATTCTAATGGCTAATATATATTTGTTGAAACAGACATATATTGGGACAAAGACATAAATATTAGAATGGAGGCAATGTATACATGGTATCAATATTCTTTCAACTTGATGTCCTCTAAGCTATCATCCAGTTACCCAAGATGTCCCATTAAGTTGTTCCCTGTAGATCTGCTTTCCCTGGAAGAGCCCTATGTACTCAGCCTTTCCTATTGGGCCTTTCCCACAATTAGAATATTTTGATTTAGTGTCCTGTCTCCCTTGGACATTCCAACCTGGTAAGCAAGCTAATCTAACAACTAATTGCCAAATTGATAATATATAATCTATGATAATGAATATCTCTGCTTCCCACTCTGTCTCCTTCCTAAACCGTCCTCAGAGAGTCCTTAGCAGACAAATGGTAGATGTATCTTTGGGCAGCTGAACTTTTCTGCTTTCCTCAAATCAGACCATAGGAGAGGATATATTCTATGCATAGATGTAATGCTAACCTTCTGAATATATTTTGAATACATTTATATATTCACTGTTGCCTTATAAAACTGTTAGGGTAGGTCTGTCTACCCTAGCAAAAGAAACAGAGAAATTTAAATGTACTGGGAGTT